ATGACCATTTTAGTCTCCCTTGTCTTTGTCGGTAATAACATACTGCCTTTATCATGAGCCGCTTTGCGGCTGCTGGTTGGGCTCGAGATAGAGCCCGTAAGGCACAACAGAACAAGTGAGTTCCGTAAGAACGATCGGTGAGCGCCCCCTACCAGCGTTTTTCCTGTTTTGCATTTTAGTCACTGACTGATTTATTTTGACTCCGTAAACAAAACCAATTCCTGTGTGTGTGTTTATCGAAGAATAAGCAGTTGTACACTCTGAATAAATGTTCGTTCCTTTGCCTGGACTTGTGCCATTGCCTATAGACACAATAATAGCGCCAAACAATACTTAGCCTTGCCTGACTTTTTAAGGATAAGTGATCGGCTTATCTGTTGCTGCGGAAAGATGTTTGCAAAACAGAAGTAGCTTGTAAAATGTACTACATGTCGTAATAGCTTGTAGTTTTTGACAAACGACCGTTGGCAGAGGTTCGGGAATTCCATATAGGCCCATTCAGTCTGTTTTGGGTAGGCTTGCTTCAATTACATTTAAGATTAATGCACCTTCCAGGCTTGCAATAGGCGTGAGTGGTTTCATAACAATGAAGTTAATGCGTCCGAATATGGCCGGCTTCTCTTCCAATTTTCACTAAGCGCCGTTGTCTAAAACATACCATGTAGATGATAATTAATATCAGCGGATCACAGAGACAAAGTACTACATTTGTCTGCAGAAAAATCCCCAAGGCTTTGTGTCTTCGAGGTCGGAAAATTTAAGTCGATTTGTGCGAGTTTTATAAGAACCCCTGCTTACTTAAATTCTGAAAACGTAGCTGTTGCAGACGACTTAGGTCAGTAAAATTACAAATAGGGATAGATGTGAAGAAATAAGACATGCTCTTGCCTTACAGAATCGTCTATCTTTCAGAAGGCTAGCAGGAAATAACGGCACCTTCACAGCATGAGAGTTGCCCCACTTTGGAAACAAAACTTCATACTGGGCTTCTCTAATTGTGTCAATAAATACGCGCTCATAGATGGATGAGATAACTTTCTTCAAAGCCCTATTAATGAATAACGGTTATCTTGGTAGACCTGTTGCAAGCATCGCCACGAAAAGAAAAGAAAATTAACGGAATTGCCATCTTCGAAGTTGATTAAGAACATTTGCCCCTCGTTCCAAGGTGATCGTGTTACAAACGTAAATAAACGAATATCCCTTAGCAGGGTCGAAGTGACCGCCACCACCACCACCACCCGCATATTCGGAGGCTCTGAAGCAAGCATCGAGGTCAGGTCAATTGGAAACTTCTCAATTATGCAAGGTATTTCTAACTGTTAATTCATTAACTTCTAACTTCGAATGCCGAGGGCGCTTGAAAGCCCGATTGGTCTGACGCATGCCACTGAGTTTGGCTACGTTCAGTTACAAAACATAATGGCCACACTAACTTGTGCTTCATTTTACGTCTTGGCTTTTTTCAGGCTGCAGTTTTTCAGGTCAGCCGCAAGCCTAAATTTCGTAATTGTTGTACGTTTCGCTGCTTAAATGGTGTGGGTTGCGAAGTTAAATTCCAACATATTCCAGTTATTGTTGTCAAAAACCTGATAGAGAGAATGCTTACTAACTGTCCCTTCTGAGTCACAGATCATTAAAAGTAATCCCTAAAAAGTCCGTTTACGAACAAACAATTAGGTTTGTAATATTATTTTTTTGTGGCATGATGCCAAGGTGTAGTAGTCACGTTAAGGTGTCGGCCTTCGAACAGCTCCTTACTGACCGCCTGCGTAAACTACATTCCGCAAAAATGACTACTTAATTTGCATGCATTTCTCGCATTGATTTTCGATGCCCTTGCAAATTTAAAGATATTTTACAGAAAACATGCAAAAAATTATTTTTTTATTCTTTTAGTAGCAAATTACGTTTTTATAAATTTTATACTTGAAGAAGGAGTAACTTTCAGTTTTGAAGAGGTTTTTTATTAGAAGATTTTTTAAGACCGTGAAATATCAAATCATACAGCATCGCAGCAGCACATTTGTTAATGCTGCTTAAAAAATAGACAAAGTTCTGCACTCCCACAAAAACGTTTTGTGAGCCCTGTATGTACTCTGCATAGTAGCTTATGAAAATGTTTGATTTCCTCTGCACGAAAATTATCAGGTTGTAGTTCAGAAATCCCGAATGCTAGCGTAACGGCAGGTCGGGTTCAAAATTGTTCGGGATTTGAGAATATTTA